AAAACAAAAAACGTACAAGTATGCTGAATAATAGGTGGACGAATATACATTACATATTTAATCTTCAACCCAGCTGCCAACACCGTACATCCAGGAACACATAGTAAATTTCTTAGTTGTCCTGAATAACTGGCGCGACCCGTAGCAACTAAGGCCACGTCGGTATCATGATTCTCATCCTGTAAACTTGATGTGCATTTAGGTATGGATGATTACACTGTACACCGTGCAAATATAGATTGCAAGCGTGGTGCAGGATATCTTACATACACACATGACTCATTCGTAGTCAGTAAGTTGGAAGATGAAATACTGAATGAGGAACCTGATTCACAGTGGATCATCTTACATGGAGATAAGTACAATCTTCGCAGAGACTGTGTTTATCGAGCATCATGCTCCACCAAAGAAGGTGATACATTGTTGCCTGAATCGTCTACACACTACTACTCGTATATTGTTACTTACAAGATAGCTGCAGGAGACACCAACATTCCAGACGTCAACTAGATAAGCAGTGACGGCATCCAACTATTCCACGAATAACTTGTCACTATTCATTGCTACGGATGCAAACAACACTACAGACACCTACTCGTGACGACATGTTGGATCTTTTGTTTCACCATGACATCGCGTAACTCTCAACCTATGTTGGTAACAGATTTTCCAGTGGTGACCACGGAATGGCACTCTGCGCTCTCCCGTTCTCATCAAGAATACAGGAGACAAACAAGAATCAAGTCGCGTGATATATGAAGTTACAAGTATACAGACTGGGGATTAGTCCAAGAACTCATGTGATGCTGTCAATGCGGTAACTATTTTACCACTGACTCCATGGAGCACCTAGCGTCACAATTTTCACGGGGATGCTAAGCTTTGTCCAGATGCTGTTCCTCCTAACTAGATAGTGAGAATAAGTAAGCACCAAGCTGAATACATTCCAGGAGCATACCACAATAAGTTAAGGAAGTTGTTGAAATATTACTATTCCACCAGGGACATATCACTACTTCACACAATCAATGAGTCACCTGAATCTTTCAAGAGCCTACGACCTCAAAATGACCTCAATTAAGCGTTGAGTGCATTTCAAAGTGCCTCTTAAGTTCATAACCTCACGACACTTGAAAAGCGAATGCGGTCGACGAGGGACATCTGCCACAACGAAATAATCTACAAAAGGCCTGCAGTCATCTGTGAACTCTTCAGTGAGTGGTTTGCGAACTTTAGTTTAAGAACGCATCCCTAATGAAACTCCAGCCCTTACCAGCTCCTCCCCCTGAATCCTAAGGTCCACCAAAAGATTAGCAGGACAAGCAGTTAAAAGACTTGCACTTGTAAACTTTGTACTAGCACGGTGTCGGATGTCCTTGTTTCAATAATTTTCAAATATAGCTGGTGTGACATTCCCCTCATAATTCTTAAGTTCTTAATATCTATGGACACAGGCAATCACCCCAGTGAGTGGGGACCCGGCTTCGTAATTCAACATTACAAATCTGGTGACAAAACGAATGTTCGCAATTACAGACCTACAAATATAACCCTGGTTATCTCGCGAATCATGGAGAAACTTGTTAAGGATTCATTATCAGACTGTCTACTTAGGGAAGATCTTGTTACAAGGTGACAACACGGATTTCTCAAAAATAGATCCTGCGTTACTTGTCACTTTGACTTCCTCATTTGCATCACTAGTAGTCGCGAAGCACGTAAGCTAGTCGTTGTTCTCTAATTCTATGTACCTAGGGCACTTTACGCGGTATGTTCGAATTTGGTGACACTTTTGCAAGTGTTTTCGCTGATATTCATTTTTCGGTTTTGCTATATTATCACAAATAATAATGGGCAAAAACTCTAACAAGCGTATTCTTAGGAGCTCTAGTAATTTAGAAAATGGCTTAAGCTTATCTAGTAACGCAATATTACCCCTAAAATCAGCTATAATTAGTAGTTCACCCAATACAAACACTTCCAACATAATGCTAACCCCTGTAATACAGGTGGAAGATATCCTGTCAGCAAAGGCAGAGATTACTAACTTAGTCTGCATCATAAACGATATGCAGCTACAAATAAATGACCTTAGGACGAAACTAAATCTACTTGACCCGGTACCAGAAACAATCTTCCATCTTAAAAAGGAACTGGGAGACCTCACTTTCCTAAAACTCTTTAAATTGAAGACTAAACCAACCAATGCTGAAATGGAACATGCTAAGGAGCTAGAGAACGCTATGGACAATCTGTCGAGCGAAGTTGTTAAGAGACTTGCTTCTAAACAGAACGCCATAGTGTACAACATACTTGACAACGAACCTATAAAGTCGGTTCAGCACTCCTTTTTAAGGACTGCAAACCTCTTAAGTACACCCTGTCAGTGTATTAGACTAAATAAAAAGGAGTTTAACCGCATATGTCCCATACTTTTCAGGTTTGACAGCTGCATAATGGCCGAACAATTTAGGAAATCTGGGGATACTTTGGCCTCCACTACGAAATTCAAAAATGTTAAAATAGTCTCGGACAAAACCCCCAACCAACGACAAGTAGCTAAAAATACCTTAGATACGAAGACGATTATACCACAAATCATGAATAGCATCAGTGCCGAAGTATCGAAGGACACTGAAACACAAAGTGGCACTTGCATTGTACTAGGTGAACAAACGACACGCGAAGGTGAAGGGAAACCCAAAAAGGGGAGTAACACTAGAATGGGTCTCGAAGTTCGTTAGAACACTCCTAGGAAAGCTACCGACCCCGCACATGAGGTAGACATAAATGCTTCCGCTGCAGATAACCTACAAATATCGGCAGATAACACTGCACCCAGAGCCAAGCAAGATAATCTCACTGCAAAAGCTGAAAAGAAGTCCCCTAAAATCAAGGTCTCTACACAGGCGTCCACATATCTCCCTTGTGACAAACCGAACAAGCAGCAGGTAAGCCTAAAAAAGAGCTATGCACGCATTACGGCAGATCCCATAAAGGAGACGGAACACGAGGGTGGAAGTGCTCTTCGTCGAACTAAGAGTAGTAGACAAACTGTGGATGACAGACTACACGAGGTCAAAACTAACAGCAAAAATAGCTCTATCCACACAAAATCACACTCTAGCAGACACGCAAGGGGAGCCGAGCTGATTAAACAGCAGAGTGAGACTCACAATTTCCGTAATAGCCTAGGTTGTAATATGCCTATAGGCTCATATAACCTGAGGACGGGACCCAGAATAAATAATCAAAACACATGGGCTACTAGATGGGACACCACCAGGTACCATATGGACGGAAATGCATACTCGAACCCTCGTAGTAGCTACGTAAAGCCTCATCGGCATAACGGGTATAGATTGACTCACGGTCCTTCTATGAACATGCACGAAATGAGTCCACAAATGTACAACTGCGAAAGACTCGGCGCGCACTACCCTCAAAACAACCTAGAAACAGGTTATTTCGGCCCTGTGAATAACAATCTTAATAGTGAAACAGATTATCTAATTTCGAAGAATGATTCCAGATACCCACGTAATGAGGCCAGAAACCAATATATGCAACAGGATTATTTTCGGTTACAGCAAACAATAGCCCCTCTTGCAGCACAGTTTGTTCAGGGAATAGTAGACACGCTGCCAATGTCTCATCTGAGAACCCCTCCGAACGTAACATAGTCAACCAGAAGTTAGGGATAGTAACAAGAAAACCCACTAATTACCCTCCCAACAAAACTGGTTTTCTAAAAATTATGCTCTTAAATGCTCGATCTCTCCTTAACAAAATAACTTCCCTTCGCAGCTTGGTATACATGGAACGGCTAACACTGATCCTGGTAACTGAAACTTGGCTAACTAATGATATACCTGATAATTGATAACTATGACATCCACAGGAATGATAGAGTGGACAAAAGAGGAGGTGGCTGTCTAATATATGCTTCTAAATCCACTGACTCCAATATTTTTACAAACCTAACTATCGGCAAACTCCCAGAATCTAAGTGGATAAGCATCCACACGAAAGAAAATAAATTCTAGTGGAATGTATATACAGAGCCCCAGCGGCCCTAAAACGACTGATACGGTTATCGCAGAAATACTAGAGCATGTACCTACTCTAGAATTCGACTACAAAATAATTTGTGGCGATTTTAACCTCACCGGAGTGAACTGGGATACCTGCACTGGACCTAGAATCTATGACGAGCTCCTAGAAGCTATAGATGTAGGAGGATGAAAGCAGTGTGTACGCCTCCCAACACGACATAACAATATTCTCGACTTAGTCCTCTGCCACAAAATAGAGCCGATCTCGACAGAGGTGGGGGATAAACTCGACAACAGTGATCACAACATACTGTACTGCAGCCTACCTCTTCAACTAACAACTAAACAGACACCTAAAAATTCCCCGGTTCACTATCAATATAGGGACTATAAAAATGCTGACTGGGAATTCCTACCAACGCTCTTGAGAAGCTCTCACTGGGATGAATACTTTACCAATGATAACTTAGAAGTAACACTTGATACCTTCTACAAGACGGTCAGTTCGGTAAGAGATACAATTGCACCCCTGAAATCTGCCTTAAAGACACCAACTCTGTTCATAGACCGCAAAACGCAATTAAAACTAAGGAAACTGAAAAGGAAATTTTATTTATATAAAGAATTTAGTGCATTACACCAGATACATGAAACATTCAAAAATCTTGAGGAGAGACATAAAATGAAGGCACAACTCGAGGAAAATAAAGCCCTCTAAAACTCAGGAACTCTGCAAGATCTTGCAAAAACGACTAAAACAGGGTAAAGACAATAATGTTGGCCACTTGGAGCATGAAGGTATAATTTATGGTAATCCCCAGATTATTTGTGAACTCCTAAACCAGTGGTTCTCCAATAACACCAAAGCGCATCCGTCCCCAATCCTCGACATAACCTGCAAAAATAACTACGAGTTAGGTGAAGTCAACTTTAATATAAAAAATATAGACATTAAAAGCTAACGGTAGTTGTGGGATAGATGATATACCATCTGTCATATACAAAAACGGTGGCACGGATATGGTAGTACTATTACTGAGAATATTCACCCTCTCACTAGTGACTGTGACCTACCCTAAAATTCCGAAAAACATATATATATATATATACTGCCTAAGCACAAAGCTGGAGCCAAAACTGGTGCATGCAATTATAGGCCTATCAGTATAACACCTGTCATATCAAGGATCATGGAGAAAGTAATCAAAGAACAAATGTCAGATTACTTTCTAAAACACAAACTCGTCAACCAATCACAACACGGATTCCTGAAGAAAATATCACGTGCAACTTGTCATTTAGAATTTTTCGATGAAATCGCCTACAGAAGTGATATGAGAGAACTAGTAATTATCCTCTATTTCGATATCAGGAAAGCCTTCGACAGAGTTCCACGTGTTCTGCTAGTCAGCAGGTTATGCTCAGTAGGGATATGCAAACCCCTCCACAACTGAATAAAATCATTTCTCAGTGACAGAAATCAGACAACAAAAATTGGCTCGATGACCTTCAGGCCTAGGCCGATTAGCAGTGGTGTCATCCAGGGGAATGTACTGGGACCCCTTCTTTTCACTATATACATAGACAGTATATGTGAGTGGTTTAGTATGGGCAAGCCAATACTGTATGCAGATGACTTTAAGGTGAAATATACCTGCACAAATACAGATATCGGTACAACTATGAACTCCATACATGAAGAATTAAGAAAAATGGATATATGGTGTGACACCTGGAGACTTGAGTTTAATGTCGAAAAGTGTGGCTGGCTCTGCATAGGCTGTCTCAACCTAGAACTCGACCTAGCAATTCAGGGCCACAAAATCCCTAGACTCAAATCTGTGCTAGACCTAGGACTGACATATTCACACAATCTATCATTTTCTGAACATATCTCGAAACAAGTATCGAAATCACGCAGGCTTATTGGTTTCCTACTCAGGAACTTCTACAGTAGTGAATCCAGAATACTACTGTACAAGGTTTGTGTGCGCCCACTCCTAGACTATTGTTCATTCATATTTAGTAGTATACGCATAGAAGACAAACTAAAAGTAGGAGTACAGAGGTACTTCACGCTAAAAGTACTCGTAACCGAAAACAGCACAAACTACTCTACAAGATGTCAAATTCTAGGACTAGAAACATTATGGTTAAGACGACTGCGACTAAATCTGGTACTCTTCTATAAGCTTCTTAACCACATAGTGTATAACCCTACTAATTGTACTCAGTTTTCAGAAGACACTAGATGTAACCTTAGACACACTCAAGGTACGGTGGCTATAGAACAATGTAAAACAGCCTCCAGGCAAAAGTTTTTCATGATTAAGTATGCCCAAATATGGAACAAACTACCTGAGGAAATGCGACTAGCAAGCTCACCGATGTCCTTTGAAAAAGCTCTTAATGACACACTAAGTGAGTTTGCAAGTGATACCAGTGCTAATTCCCATGTAAGAGCTTCAGAAATTATAGGCCCATTTAATGTATGAACTCAGAGACTATACCTGTTGTTTCTTTCGCCTTTATCTATAATTTCAGACAAAAATGCGGCAGTCATGAAAATAACACCCATACAAATAAGAGTCGATCGAATTATGCCTACCTGATACAAAGCGTGAACCATAACCAACATACGAATGAAATATGAGAAAACAAGGTCGAGACTTACCACAACATCACATGGAAGAATATAAGTTACTTGGACATCATTTATAATCCACCAACTGGTCTCCTTTCCAAAAGGAATACGGCGATATTTTATCACAGCAGTGGGGAAATACACAAATCCACAGTTCCTGTTGTATACACTCAGTGGAGGTAGCAGCCAACAAAGTAATGCATTTAAAGCATATGCATACTTCCCATCATCACGGAGACACTGCGGAATGTCAAAATCGCAGCGTAATCAAACCCAACACCCGATGTAATTAACTAAATCCGAAATGCAAACAAGTTGTAGTACATATTTGAATATTTATCCATATGACGATAATAGTGACAAATCCAAATCACTACCTAAACAGTGCCAATAAATCTGGATATCTATGATATAACGAAAACATCCTGACAGCTGCAATTCAGATCTCACTGACTCATTTGGTGGTAAAATTCTGCTCCTGCATGTCTCTTTCGACATTTTCGTATGGATTGGTTCGCAGTTACTCTGGTTCCAAACCGAAAAGAATCAAAAATTCACTGGTTGCTGAATTACTAATACTTTTCTGCGTGTTTAAATGGATACTAACTGCTGTGGTGAGCCTCTTGCAGATTACATTGCTTAAAATATCGTTTACGGTAAACTAATTAACGTTTTGTAAGCCATTTTTATACCTTTGTGAATGGCCCACCATATCGACCGAATGTAACGCAACACTCAGTTGTTTGGCTCATTTCCAACAAATTCAAACAATAATGGTGCCTAGGATTATGCCATATAAACTGTTTTAACTTATGCAGAGTGTACTTACGGTCAATATTCCAATATCTTCTCTTGTATATATATCTTGTGTCAGTTAAAAATTCTAAAAGTGTTTACTCCATGTGTGTAATATTATTATATTGATGATGCCTGTCAGCTGGAGTCCCTCATGTGCATAAAGTGAGAATATATTATTGTAAGACGCATTTTATTGTTTTATGAGGGACTTGACTTCAAGCTTTATTTATTTTCCCAAGTATCTGTAATCCATCCAACCCATACTTGGGTTTTTTTGCTAATGGGAAGTCAATATCTCTATATTTCTTGATGTGTTCCATCGAATCACCAGTTATCCGGTTTTTACCACAAACTAAAGATAAAGTGACAGCAACCATGTTATTTGACCGTAAATCATGTAATTTAAATATTTCACTTGAATAATACTTATCCATGCCTATACAACTTGTGTATCCTACATTTGAAGGAATAAATATGTAACTTATTATATTGTCATGACTAACTATACTTACTAATCGTATAAGTAATTTATCTAATAGATGGTGCCTGTAAACTGGCGTCCCTCATGTACAAAAACGAGAATTTATTATTATTAACTAGAGTATCTAATCAAATCCTGATACAGGTCCCAATCAACATGTGTGTATAGTCTTATAAGTGTCTGACTAACTTCGTTTCTGGAGAAATGTTAAACGATAATGCTACTATTTTGTTATCGCTACCTGGGAATTCACGTCCCACATGAATCGTAGATGGTGCTACGTTGATCGTGAATATAAGATCAAGAATATCAGAGGACCTAGTGGGTGCATTTGTATGTTGCGTGCATCCTCCTGTAATGATGGAATTAAGAAGATTATCATACCTCGAAGTGTACGCCATGACATACCAGGCATATTGAAGTCAGCTTCAATTGTATTGTAACTGAAGAAAAGATTGCATACAACATTAAATATGTTACTGAGTACGTCATCAAAATCGCGGTTGGTTGATGGCGGTCGGTGTACACAAACTATTAGGATAGATTTACTTCTGGGAACTTTTATTTCGACCCACACCGAGTCATTAAGTTGTGACGGAATATGGTGACTAAAATGCGTCGCACGAATGGATTGCCTAATGTATATAAGTGTTCCCCCCACGACCTGTTTCTCTTTCTCCTCGGAAAAGATTGTACTCATCAATCCATAAGTTGTCATCCGCAATATCACTTGAGCACCAGGATTCATTGATCATTATCAACGACGGATTGCATATAGAGGCTAACGTACATAACGCTTAGTGTTTATTAAGAACTGATCTGGCATTTATGAGGATGACGGATAGACTTTGACTACGTGGTTTCAGTGTATGGGCGGTATCGTAATAAAATACTCGATGATTATCACCTGAATACCTACAGTCGTTATGGGGCTCATTACTTACTACCTTTTGATCACTAGAGACGTTTTCTTCAACTTGATACTTGGGGATGAGTTGTGAAGAGTCACTCATGCGTAGTTGGTTTTTTAGATAGTGCGTGCTATGAGAGGTACTAGTACGATAACCTAGAATATTACTTTTGGTATTGGGTGTGTATAAGGTGTTTCCTATCTGCCGGGGGAGAAGCAGTTTCCCTGCTGTAAGCTGTTCGCTATACCAGTAAGGAATTGGTCTGATGTCATGCGTGCTACGTGCATGATCCCTGGAGTTTCTGCCAGTTGTCGCTGGAGAAAATTTTGGTCTTATGAGATGGCTAGAGCCGTGTTATCTGCATAGTTATAATCGAAATATGTGATCGGCGTGTTGTTGTGTGCATATGATTTAGATCCCTGTATCTGGTAAAAGTATTTCCTAGGCCATGATGAGCATTGTGCTGCATTTGCCCCCTACTGAATGCATGAGAAGTGTAACAGGGCACTATATGTGTTTTTGACCTAATGTCTGTATTCTCAGACTGGTGTTTCCCGTACATCATAGTTGAGGGTGCATTCGTGAGGGGCTAGGTAACTCCATGTTTTCGGAGTGGTTGTGTAGATATGTAACGATTGTTTTTGTTGTAATGGAACTGGCAGTAGTAACCGGAAATGAGTAAGCTCCGATGGTAGGTGAATTATGTGTAACTTGAGGAACATGACTAAGTTTAGATGACTTTTCATCTGCAGAATGAGCCTGTGACTCTTTTGAAACTTTCGTACTTGTGGGCTTTAGTGTTCCGGATCTAGTGTTTGGTTTACGTTTTTCCGTACTAGTTGGCTTGTGTAATTCGGGTTGCTGGTGAATAGTAGGATAGCATAGTATAGCATTTCTTTCGTATCGACTCCCTTTTAGCCCTTATGTATTGTTAATGTTTCAAGCAACAACAAAGTGAGCAAAGAATTATATTCCTTTGAAATTAGTTCCTCATTATCACCTGGCTCTATACTGCTGATGTATATACATATATAGTTTTTTACACAAAAATTTTACCAACCATGTGGTTATTTTAGTCCATCAGCTTTAGGTATTGTCGTGTTGGGGGTGGCTGGGCGAAATTAACAGGTTAAAAGTCATGGAAAAAATCAACTAGTGGATGTTAGTAAACATGATATCGAAGTTTTGAAGGAGGGAGCGGTTAAAATTATTAGCTAATTAATCACGGATTTCAAGATAAGTTAATTTGTTGGGGTTAGCAACAATTTATTACATAATCAAGAGATTTGTAAAATAGCCATGATGACTACTAAGAGAAGGATGACTCAGAAGAGTTACGTAAAATACAAACAAGTTAATGGGATTAGCTAGAATTGTGAAAATAACAATGCTGAAACATAAGTTACAAGGGGAGAAAATCATTTCCAAAAACTTAATACACATTATGTATTTGAATAATGCAAGAACAACAGTGGTTTTTGCAGAATGATATAGTACCATCATTAATTTCGTTGGCTTCCCATCAGCTGCTCACAGCCTAAATAAACTTTGAGGTTTATGTACAGAACAGTTTCAACGTCCTTGCAAATTTCTCATGATGTAAGTTGACAGAAGGTGCCGCAATTAGTGACCAGTGCTCAGAAAGTGGCTGTACAAATTTCTTTTGAACACAAATTTTGCTTGTGCAAATGAATTCCGGCTGCCTTCGCTGTATATAAAAGTCGCACTTGCAGGCTATGCGAGAGTTTGGGTTATATACCAAAACTGGCACATGTCAGTAACCATTCCAATGAGAAAATGGGACCTGTTTTCACAATATATTGCGTGGAGGGGGAGGTCATATACACTGTATGATTCATTTTTATTATGTTTATATATCCTGTAAATGCTAAACTGATGGGTTATTTCAAGTTCATATGACTATGGTATCTATTCTTTACTTTAATTGCCTTTAATAGCAACTCGATGTACAGATATAAGCAAAATACGTCTACTACTATATTATGTATAATCACAATTTACACCTATCTTCGTATTGTGTGACTTTAACCTTGTGTATGGGTGCTCCTATGTCTTCCTTCCATGCTTCACAGGCATCGTTCATTTCACTTCAGCATTAAATCTTTCTCTCTGCTATTCGAAATTCTCGCAGATGATATACATATTTTTGTGTCTATATACTACTTGACATTTTTCCGAGGTTTTTCGTTATTTATTGACTAGTTAAGCCTTTTTGAGTGGTTTTTACTTAGTGGTTTTCCGTTTTCTGCAAACCCCCTATTTTCGGCTATTTGGTGTTCCAGGCTAGTATTATAATCTCAGATATTAAGACTATTAGCTATTTTTACCACTTCTGCCAGTTTTTAAATAGTTTATTTTCATTAAAATAGCGTTTTTTATAGAAAAAACTGCACGTTTTTAGCTTAAGTTAGCCTACTTTGGTAATTACCCAAAACCCCCCTTTTTGCCCTGTTCCCTGAACTTTACATTTTCGCTTGGTTCTCCGAAACAACTGCTCCCCTCTTCCTGAATTTTTACATGGTGTTTCTACTCGTCGAATGCGTTCTTTTGACTCATAGATTGCCGACTTAATCTTTGATTTAGAGATTTTCACTCTTTAATTTAGACCTACCTGTCATAATTTGGCCCTTTTTAACGAATTTTTCCTCCCTATTCGTGCTGCTTCTAATTCCTGTCGCTGAAATTGTAATAATTAGTTTCAGCTCGCGAGACTCTTTCGTCTGATATATAATTTGTACCTGTTTATTCTACATTTCCGAAATCTTCCCCTCATTTTTCGGTCTTTTGCCTACTCTGACTTAAGAAGTACCCGCGACTCACCACTCGATTTTCTCTTTGACTGTTATTCAACCTTTCAGTCCTTATTATTTAGTTCCCTTATCTTATCTAGTGAGTCGAAATCTATTTTTTACCCTCTAGTTCCCCGCCATTCCTTCCCTGTACATCTTTTTGTACCATCAGTGCCCTTTCCAATCCTATAGTAAACACAGCATAAGCTATATATGCGATATGAGCGTGAGTTAACCGGTTCTCATTGCTCGCTTATTGACTGTGTATGGTTTTCTATAGTCTTGGTAGACGTATAAAAGCCATTTACATGCTAAATCGGTTGGCAGGGATAACAATTTCATTGAATTTGGTGGCTGCAGGCTTCGTTTATAGGGGCCTATTGTCAATAGGCAGCATCAACCTCAGGGACACCAGAGAGGCGGGAACGGCTACGCAGGGAAAACCCGGTATCTTCCTTAGGAAGAGCGTTGATTTATATACCATTGGATTCTGCTTGACGAGAGGAATCTATTGGTACTAGTCTCGTCTCTGTAGGGCTTACGGTCGCGGAGACATGGTAAGAGAGACAACCCTTAGGGAACATCGCTCTAGGAGAGGAGATAGTTCCCACCAGGAACTATCAAACACAATACTGGGTAGATG